TTGGGTGTTTTTTTTAGTGTTTTTTTTAACATTATTATTTTTTTGTTGTTTATTATTTTTGTTATTATGATTTTTATTATCATTATTAATAATATTATTATTATTATTATTTATTTATTTTTTTCTTTTTTCCAGGACCACAATGAAAAACATTTCTTTAAAATGATTGTGTCATCCTGGCTAAAGATATTAGTAAATAAAAGAATTGACACGGAATAAGTATAAATAAAAATGGACTATTTGTTATACATATATACATATCTTTATTGAAATCACACGAAGCAAATCTGTAATGTACATATAATCTTCAATTCTGATAAATCAAGTAACGTGATCAGTCACGTGGTACAATAATGCTAATACTTTTAAAAAGTTGCTATTTACATAATATCCCGGAATACAACAAACACTTTCACTACTAAATTAAATATCGTTATTCTCAGCCTTTATATGTTTAAACAGATATTCTGTATATACCAATGCGAGCAATACAAGCTTTCCACTAGGTACCTTAGACTGGTATATTGGAAGCTGCCTTCATCACGCAAACTTGTTGTCGCGCCAAACCACGCAAGTGCGGAGATGACGTGTGATCAATATTAGATGTCATTAATTGTTGCGTCATCAATGTTTTAGTCCAATATATTGAAGCCAAATGTAAACCTTGGAGAATTTTTTTTGAATTTTTAGAGCTTAATCATATAAAGACTGAGAATACTATGTCCAACCATGTTTGTATGACTAGTAGGTCCGGAGATGTGTGAACTATGTACGTGTAATGCCGGACACTCACTGTGCACAGCGGTGGTCGTCGGCCGACGCGATATGGGGAACACAACGCTACGACGACGCGCGCACAATGGATCGTTTGTTAATGACGACCGTTCAGGCTGCTACCAATTTAGTCAGCATACGGTGTCGCGTCGTCTAAAGGCCAACTCAGACAGTGTCGTACAACGGATCGTTTCTTAATGACGATCCGTTCAGACTGCCACCGATAATCTGCATGAGTGTTACGTCGTCTGAAGCCTGTTTTCCACTAGGCGAATTTATTCGCGCTTATGGAAAGCGTCAGCTCATGCACATGCGCATTCACATTTCCATCGGAGTTATTGCTAGCGAAAAAATGCGCAATCAATCAGAACTCAGGAAGCGAACCGACGCTGTCGTGTCGTCGAGCGTTCACAGGGAACAGAGTTGGATTCGTCGGCCGACAGTCGTACGACGCAGTGAGTGCCCGACTTAATTTTCTCCCTCTAGTAGCCCTAGTAAAATATAGAATACCAATCGAATTTCAAAACCAAAAAAAAAGATTGTGGATATCGATATCATCAGTGGCGGATTAAAGGGGATGGAAGCCAGCCCGCCCCTTCTATTTTTTTTCAAAATAAAAAAACGAAAAAATGAAAAAAAAAAAACAAACAAAACAAAGAAAATTATATTTAAATTTAAATATGAAAGTGTCATTTCCGGCCATCTAGATGTGTCATTCCTTTCTTACCTCAGCCCCACCATGGTTGGTTGGTGTAAATCCTCTATCTGTGAAAGTTCCTTCCTGGGCACGCTCTAATCCAAATGTGTAGATCCGCCACTGATCAATGCTAGGCCTTTGTTTTAGTTAATAATATTTGTAATCTAAACGTACTCAATAATAGTAGCTATTATTATTAATGATATAAACTATTAATTATTAATTTACTCAGCAGTATTTTATAATACCCTTGGTAATTTCGAAACGTCAGTATTTGATAGATTAAGACAGTCTGCACCCGTGTTTCATGACGTTGTAGACCTATTTGTAATGACATGAATTGGTTAATGTTTGAGGGTTATAAAATAGTGAAATATATAACTTAATCATCAGCAGTTTCAACAGGAGGGATTTTACTTCTTTAACAACCAAATTATAGGTTCTGGACATAACTCATCCCTTTGGTGTATCTGCCTCTTTTACTTAGCTGTGCGTAAATTTTGCATTTTAAACAAATTAATATGGAAGCGCACGTTTTTGCTGACGCACAATACGTTTGTCAATGGTTGTCGTCTGACTGTTGGTTGACGAATTCGTCTGTGTGAGCGCTTGTCGTCACGTCGTGGTCTCATCGAATTTCGTGGTCCGGACCTGATAAGGCAGACAAAGTATGCCCTTCGGCTAAACCCGTTTGAGTTCGAATCTCCCGTTGTCCTATTCGTTTGTATCCTTGTGAGCAAGGCAATTTATCTACCATTTTCCACGTTGTACAATATGAACACTTGGTAGGGATGTAGGTATTGAATGTATGTATAATAAGCTGATGAGCTTACACAAGTTGTGAATGTTTGCCAATTTTTTGATCCAGTGACGAGAAGGTACAGTAGTATTTCTCTCTCGTCTAAGTTCAATTGGTTTACAATGAAAATTGACTGTGCTGATGAGCATGTGTAGTAGTTGGGCAACGTAACGCGAGCGTCTAGCTTGAACTAGTGCGAAACCTAGACCATTGCATTGTTCCTCCATAAGTTTTTCTCAGTCCATACTATCTGAGGTTGCTTGATGTGCATGTCATTTAAACATCCGCGTGTCTTTGTCTCCCTCTGCCACCCTCAAACAAAATTGGAATAATGTGTTAGAGTCTATTCCTAAGTGCTTACATCTTCGATAACGATTCCCCATCGCCGTTCTCGGACACATAAGCTATATTTTCATACTCAGGTGGCGTACTGATATTATCACGAGCTTGAATTGAGTCCGAATTACTGTCCTTTGCGTTCTCCAAGTCTTCTGCTGCTTCTGCTCTTTTTCTTTCTAAACGCGCTTCTATTCTTTGTTCTTTTAATTCTATCAACTCAAAATCAAATTTATTCGTTGTAACGTATTCCCAACGCTGTAAGAAAATGATACAATAATTTAAAGTTTAATATTTTGATGTCATAAATTACGTTATAATGGAATTACGTTTCACAATAAACCGAGTGTAACTTATACTGAACGTCAACAAGTTATTGGTCTTATTCATAAACACCCATACGGTAATCATTATGAATTTGCCATTTGTAACATAATATTTAACAATAAAATTACCGTCATAATGTTTTAAAATCGTGCAAGTTTGTTGATTGTGTTCCCATGGTGTTTGTAACAGTGTTAAGTTTGCCATTTTTGTTAATGATTTTAACAGTTCTGAATTTGTTGCGACCTTTTTTGAATGGATTTTATTATCTTAACTCTATTTAATTAATGTGTTACTTCTTTTGTTTGTATGTGCTGCTTTTTTGTATGTGCTGCATGATTTTATATTTTATGGATTTTAGGTAGTTTAATGTAGCCTATGTATACTGGAATATTTTCTCCTAAGGGAGGTGAATAAATTGAAATTTAGGCCTAAATTGAAATTAAACTTATGACGTTATTATACGTAATAGGCCTATATTATTAGACTTATTACACTTAGTTCACTTATCGCACGCATTGTTTGATTTAATAATGTCTTATTAAGATATTCTACTTCAGTTAAAAGAGTGACTTCTTACCTCAGAAAGTGATCCTCGTGTTGTAAGGAATAGATACACAGCGTATGTGATAATCCAATGCATTGATGCCAGCGCCATGAACCAGCCTAGGATTTCACCCCACACAGGGTAGTAATAATCTTCGCCATATTTTGCATGCTGATAGTCGACAAGGCTGAATACGAAAATTCCCTGTATCAAAATAGAAATAATTACCAATATATTCGTGTAGTTTTCAATACAATCGTGCAGAACTTTTATTTATATAATTAGTATTTTTTTAATTTCTTTTGAAATGATTATATTGTATTATTGCAGAAAGTAAACTCCAACTAGTGTAATATACAGGTACAGTTATCACCACCGGAACGACCATACACTGGGAATAAATCTTCTTCATACGTTCGTGAGTTATTCTTAGTGGTTACACCGAATAAATGAATCTATCCATCTACCCATCCAACCAACCAACCAACCAACCAACCAACCGGAGCTCTGGGTTCAAAGGCCGGAGTGCCTAGTTTGGGCCAGAGTGTGAAATCTTATTGAGGGTCGGAGCCACCACGCATTCCGCAAAAACGAATCGGTTATCCTTCTCATCATATGCTATAATCCATCTATACTCATAGAATAGAGATATAAAAAGGTTAGGTGCTTTGCCCATGGACACAGCGAGGGTTTTGGGCCCCGATGAGAGTTCGGGCCACAAGCACTCCGCCAATATAGATGTAGATACACAAACAGACGATAAATTAAACTTACAATGCTGACCATCGGTGCTGTACCTGCCCAGCAGATTATCCAGAACCAGCCTGGAGTAAAGCCCATCATGGTAGATATTGCTTTATAATACTTGTTTACTCCAAGTCCATATGAAATTGCCACGCACTCCCACGACGCAACCCAGAGTAAACACATGCCACTCGCTGCATATGAGTCCATGTCTATAATCAGCTTATTTGAGGGTCCCTAATGATCAGCTTCTGCTGATGGAACACCCTCATTAAATATGGTTCAAATAAAAAATATATATATTTTACAAATGTATTCAAAATTTGCACAAATGTTATACTTAATTCAAAATGTAGGCCTTACTTTCATTCTGTCGACACATTTGGAAAAAAAAAACTATCTCAGGGGAGTGGGTTCATGGCAATGTATTTTAGATTAAAAATATAATTACCTCTGTAACACAGACTAATCCAAGCAAGAAATCGATCCCACAGACAATAAGCAGAAACACTGTTCTGTTCTCGCGTAACTTGTACTGAGTAAAATAGTCCATTACAGAAGTGATGAATCCTTCAACAACACAGAACTGTAAAAAAATAAAACAATAAATTAATATGGTTGGATAAGGCTTAAGACCTGTTAATACTTCAACGATAACGATAACGATAAACAAGCTAAAAAGCAATTGTTCATATAGAAAATGAAAGAAATAACAGAAGTTTTTACACTAGGACGATTCGATAACAATTTATCGTGTATGCGATAACAAAATATTTTGACAAATCAAATCAGGTGACGTCATAATCACATGCTCTATACCGTTCATTTGACAAAATTTTAAATTAAGAGAAACATAATCTGATACGAGATACACAATTTGCATGTTGTTTATTTACATATTTATTTTAAAAATGTTATCTTATATATATTACATTCTCTTTTGTTAAGGGATCATTTTTAGACAAGTTTTTAACTTCTAATCTGATTCCTAAATCGTAATTTATAGATACTAATTGTTTACTTTCACATATTTCGATTTGAATAAATGTTACTGTTACTTACTTACTTAAAACCGTTGCTACTACTACGATTTTAATGTTTTTCCATGATCATGACGTCACCTGATTTGATTTGTCAAAACATGTTGTTATCGCATAACTGATAAATCTTTATCGAATCGTCCTAGTGTAAAAACTTCTCTTATTTCTTTTATTTTCTATATGAACAATTGCTTTTTAGCTTTTTATCGTTATCGTTTTAAGCATAAACAGACCTTTAGGCTTATATAGATAAAAATACAAAAAAAAAGATAGTGTTGTGGGAAATAATGATATGAAGACATGGAATAATTCAAAGTTTCTTTACCTGACTGTCAAGACCAAGCATAATCAACATGAGAAAAAATATGACAGACCACAGTTGAGGGACGAGCGGCATTTGGTATACGGCAGTCGGGTACGCAATGAAAGTAAGACCAGGACCTGTAAAAATATTTGATACACACACAAAAATAATAATTTCAGTTTTAAGTACAATTTAAGATATGACTTTTGTTTATCGATTCACAAAAACGTGTCGCATTTAATTTACTTAAATAAACTGTACCCATCTACTTTTTTTTTACAGCAAACACGTGTTAAAATAGATGAAATTCATATATAATAAATAGGCCTATTAATAAAAATGTTCGTTCCAATTTGTTTCATACGTAATTATATGCTATTACTTCCGACCTTTTAATTAATGTATGACTCTATATTTATCAAATATGGAAATTCACACTAACCTTCGCTAACAACCTCCGATACAGGAACATCAAGTTCATTTGCCATGAAGCCAAGAATTGAGAATATTACGAACCCAGCAAAAAGACTTGTTCCGGCATTTACCACTCCAACCACTAAAGTATCACTGAAATTTTAAGCAAAGTTATTAACGTGACTGGTATTTTAATTTTTCCAAGCAATAATTAAATTCTATTCTTTTCCTGCGAGACGTAAAACTTGATGTATCATGCTATTTATGAATACTAAAACGTACTCTAATCGTTTCAGTAGATAAACATCGAATCTACGGTGATCTTATACTTCGGTCAAATAGAATCAGACAACAAAGATTAGGAATATCAGAGTACTTAGTTGTCTAAGACATTACTCTGGCGACAAGTATCTATCGGGAACTTGAAGAAAGGAGCTGTTAGACCTGTTTGGACATGCATACATTATATGCTAATACGCGACACCGTCGACAAGGGCTAATAGAATTCCGGTTTTGTCGCGGCATAAGTAAGCAATTACGGGACGTCATTATATCGACTTCAAAAATATTGTGTTTAAGAGCATATAGACAAATTGCTTACATTAAACTGTTGTTACGGTATGGGTTGTAACTTCCAAGAGAAATCAGAGATCCAATTCCAACTCCATAGGAAAAGAAAATCTGCGTTGCAGCGTCGATCCAAACGGTCGGACTGGACAGACGATCCCACTCTGGCGTAATATAGTATTCGATACCGTCCTTATGTCCCTCAAGAGTCAGTCCACGGATCAGAAGTGCTGTCAGAATGCCATACGGAATCAAAGCTGTAAACCAGACAATCTGCAAGAATATTGACAATTAATGAGGTCCATGACAAAAATTTGATTGCAATTTGGAGAACCATCTTGGTCACCTAATGGCTGTATGGACTTATTGCTAATGATGAAACTTACAAAAAACTCAAACAAAAAATTGAAGTACCTTTCCAGTCTGAGCGACTCCTTTCCAAATGCAGGCATAGGTAAGAACCCAAGCTACAGCCAGACATCCAACAAGTTCCCACTGGAGACTGCCTATCTCATCGATTCCAGGTGATATTTTCAAAACTCGATTTCTGTGGTACAATTAAAATGATTTAGTTAGATATGTTATTGATCTAGTCGAAAGATTGCGAATAAAATGCAAGGGCAATGCTCTACTCTTTTCCGAAGAACAAGTTTTGTGAAATCTCAACTGTTCAGCGCACACAGTGTGGCTACTTGTTCAGTCTAGACGGCTTAGCTATGCTGATCTGGATGTTTTCTTGATTTTTGACATAGCCGTGCACAGTTTAAACTACAAGAAGAAAGCGATAATTTAATTCTAAATAATCACTTTCTTCTTTAACAGGCGCGGATCCAGCGGGGGTCATGAGGGCCGTGCCCCCTCCCCCCATGTTGGTCAAGTCGAAAAATAAAAAAAGAGGGAGACAAATTGGAGTTAAAGAGAGGAAAGGGTAAAGGGAGTGAACCCATGAGTTCAGTGGCGATCCAGCAATGGGAGAAAGGAGAGCTCGATTGTTTACTACTTATTTCACCAACCATGGTGGGGGGAGGTGGCGTGGCGGCTTGAACTTCATATCGTGACACCCCCCCCCCCCCCGT